GAAGCTTTATTCTGTAATTGATGTAATGATTTATTTACATCGTCCCGCATTCCCTCATTCTCGCGTTCGTGTGTATTTATTTCTGATACATTAACGACAGATTGTGCAAAATGATTTTCCACTTGCTTTCGTGGCTGATAAGCTGTTTCCGGTACCAGTGCCATCGACGGCGGTGGTGGCGGACGATATAACGCTTTGTCGCGCATATAACTTTCAACATGCGTCGCCTGTGTAATCATGTCCTCAAGAGAGAATATTTCTCCTCTCCTCATCGTTAACTTATAGTCCGGTCGCATATTAGTAAAAATAATGTCGAGTTTCTGTTGTAACGAAAGCCCGCCTTTCCTTCTCATTAACGTCGTTATCGCAACTACAAAGTCCCTAAAAGGCTCCTTTTCGCCCTGTGTTCGCCGCCTTATCTCTTCATCAAGGTTTCGCTGATAACCCTGTGGCAGAAATTGTAGCGCGAAACTATCTCTAAACGTCGCGAATGTTGGCCAGAAATCTTTCCCATTTCTGTACCACAAAAGTGCAGTACCGGTAAGCAATTCGGGAAGTGCTTTAAGTATCTCGTCATCGTTAATCCCGTATGCTTCGATTAACTCGTCAAGTCGTTCGAGGAATGATATGGGATCTTTATGTCCGTCAAACTTCACATTCCATTTTCTAACAATACTACAAACTGATGGCGTAGTATTATATTCGTCCGGCAAATGTCGCATTTTGCTAACAGTAGGCATATTTGACGTAACTGTTTGCGTACTCATAATAGGCAACGAGCTGTAAGTTAATCCGCCCGTGCCTCGCATTGGCTGTGTTGGCTCGTTGGTATTGTAAGTATTCGATCGTCGTGTTAAATTTGAAATTGATTGGCACAATTCCTCGAACGTTAGATTTTCTGGCATTCCTAAAATTGCTTTAATTTTATTAACCTCGCTCGTGGTCACTTGACCTGGTATTTTACTAGGCACATCAATCGAGCTAGGCCTAACATACAACTGATTTCCCGCTACAGAAATCGCCTCTCCTTCCGAATCATAAGTTGGAGTTTGCTGGTTTCCTCGGGGAATTCCCTCTTTCCAAAACTTCGAGAATCGGCGTCTTAATTCGTCCATTGTTCCCGACGAATCTAACCCATACCTATCCATCTCTAGCTTAAGCTCGTCTTTATTTAACGATCTTATCCAACTTGTCCTAGGATCTTCTTCCGGGGGAGTTTTCGAACTTAATTCTACAGCTTGTGTCGTTATCGGCAAAGCTAACATTGCGTCTGTCGCAGTAGTAGTTTCAATCGGTTTGGTCGGTTTCGATATCGTCCCAGTACTCGTAGTAGTAGTAATCGTTGAAGTACTAGTCGTTTCGATCGATTTGGTCGTTTTCGATATTGCACCCGTACTTGTAGCACTACTCACGGTGCTCGACGTAGTCCTGAGAGTTTTTTCCGCAATAGTTTTACTCGGAGTAACTACGTAGTATACGGGCCAGAGAAGATAAGACCAAATGTTTAAGAACAATTGTAAAACTCGCATTTTCGATTTTTACCGTTCTTACTCACTGAAAAACAAATCGTTCGGGCGCCAGCCAAAAATGGCAAAAATTAACGATCGATAACTATATAATTACCAAGTCCCTGTTCGCAGCGCCATTTGTGACGGTGCAATTTCGTCCTGGGACAAAATTGTACTGTCGGCCTCGGATAGCTAATCTAATTGAGTTAGTACAGGGTTAGTAGTAATAATAATAGTTAAGTTTTAAAACATGGGCTCAGATATGGTCGTTAAAGCATCAGCTTTCAGTAAATGACACATTCATCACTGCCCGGGTTAGGCCTTAATTTAAACAAATTAGTAATTAGGTGTTAATTCCGGGAGTGAAACACTGGTCGTAATTAACTAAAATCTTAACTTCGAAAATAAAATAAAACCTCTACTTAATGGATATACCGTGTTTCACTTTTGGAATTAAAACCAATTATACTTACAATTAACCGATTCGATTGTCGCGGGTCCACCGAGCTATTTCGCCCTGGCCTAACACCTACTATTCGACGACACCAGAGTTATTTCACCACTGGCTAATTACCGGGCTATTCCGCCCTCGACCTACGGTTTCGCGATGTATATGCGCGGATCCGAGAGCTATTCCGCCCTCGGCCTAACACCTAGTATTCGACGCTACCAGGGTTATTTCACCACTGGCTTATTTACCGGGCTATTCCGCCCTCGACCTATCGTCTCGTTATATCCGCGGGCCCGAGAGCTATTCCGCCCTCAGCCTAACCCTAGTATTCGACGCTTCCAGGGTTATTCCACCACTGGTTATTACCGGGCTATTCCGCCCTCGCCCTACCAGGGAGATATTGCTAGCTCTTCGCCCAGCAATCAAGTCCGACTGGCCCGTGTCCTGCGCCGCTTTTATAGGGGCCGCGACGCTAGCGCAGTGCGTGGCCGCTCGGAGAACTAATGACCCCGCGCGGGCCATTTGAAATCGCATAGACGCTCGTTTTCTGATCTCGTAATATTTTAACCGTTACAAGATCTCAGTAATATTAAAACTGTTATATTTTTCAATAAACATTTTTAAATATCAAAATAAAAGAGAATTATTGTCCATTGCAATCCTACCTAACAAATTATAAGTTCTACGTTATACGTGCTATTTTATGTTGGTAACACTCATTCTTTGTAAGTTGATTGTAAGTTTTTTTTTTATTTTTATATCGAAACAACCACATCTTCTTATCATTGAATATCTACTTCACAACGTAGATGGTTTGCTGAATATAGATTTCTCAGTTATGTATATTTTATATTAATAAATAGTTTGTCACTTAGTTTATTTGGTTTAACATATCTACTTTTTACCAGTCAAGTGAAAGAATTTTAGTTATTTTTAAAGCTTTTTTATCAAAATCATCATAAATGTTAGACTTGGAACAATTTCAAACACGCACTACGCTAAAAAAAAACACAGCAAAACAAGCCATTCTGTATACATAGTTTCTGTATTCATTTCGACTGTGCAACAATTAAAACAGCTGATTTAAAACAATGACAAGACAGCGCATGTAGTGAATACATGAAGAATTAATCGAGAGTGAAGGAACGTAAAAGTAGATTGAGGGAAAATCAGCTGATCGTTTTTACCTACTCTAAATTATATCTTGGCAAACAACTACTTTCTTTTATATCAGCTGTTGTCGAAACAGCTATTTTCAGTACGAAGTGAAGAAAAAGTTATTTCAAGTGAAAAAATACTGTATGTGTACATTGTTTGTGTCTTGTTTGGTTTTATTACGCCAGATTTCTATCAAATATACAGTGTAAACACATCAACATATTACAACACAGTAACCTCTAGCACCCAGAATTGATTACTACGATTGCGATGTCATCGTAAGCTTTCTCTACTTGGCTACTTGACCTTTCTCAACCCCAAGCTTAAGCCTTATCACCTGTTTGACTTAAGCAGCTGTTGAAATGTAGCTTGGGAAGAAAATTAATCTTCTTTTAAAATTACCATTGTACCACATTGCTACGAGATTTCGCCAAATAAAACTAGTTTGAAATGTCAGTGAATGAGTTAAGTGGGTAAAATGTATCACATTAAAAAAACAAACTTATCGTATTTATATTTAGAATGGCAGAGATTTTTTAGTAAGACTGAGTTCGTTACTGTAAAGGTTAATACAGTAGCATGTTTAATTTTTATGAGAAAAAATTAATCCAGGCTACTTAGGTTTTAAAAGGGTATTTTACATCGAAGACACTTAGTTGGTGGAATTTGAAGAGAAGAAGAAAAACCACCATTATTTTTTTAATCCACAATTATTTGCAATCGCATTTTTTTATCATATACAATATTTTAAATTGACTGTCAATTTGGAATGCATAGTGACGATTATTATTTCGAATACATGTTTGAAAATTTGATTAAAATCAATCTAATACTGTACTGTGGATTATCGTACGGTTTTTTTTCCAAATTAATTTAATCAATGTTTTAGACATTGATCTTTTGAACTGATGGACTTAGTTTTTATCAGTTATTGGCACGTGTTTATAAGTGTGAATCATTTGGGTTAAAACCAATCTTTGCGTTATGACCAATGTTGTTTTTAGATTATTAATTCACTGCTATATAAAAAATAGGTTGTCTAATTTGATATAACATAACAAATTTTATTTTTTTTTTTTATTTTGAGGTGCACCGACAACTAAAGATGTTTTACTGATACACATTATAACCCACCTGTTGCACTTAAACACTGAATTGGATTCTAGAAATTAAGGTTTCTATCACTAAACTGAAGGGCCTGTAAATCAAGATTTTTAAATAAAGTACCTCTACGACACTGACACCTTTTTTTGTACGTACTGTATTTACAACAAAAACTAAGTGCAGTATAATTTTAGAACCGAGAGCATAATAACTGGTGTATCTTTGTTACTGACTAAAGATAAGCCGGTCCTTAAGCCATGGTTTTACAGAGGTATTTTAAATTGATAGGCCTTTTTAAATCGGTTGGTAATATCATTGACTAATTTATACCACACGTCTGGTGCTGTATATTTAACTAAGTACATAATGTAACCTAATGTTAATTTGGAGAGTAGCTCTTAATTTTTATAATTCGTCAAACATGGAATCCTCAATAACGCTTTGAACAAATCATTTTCTGAATAACTCCGGATATATTATTTAGAAACAATTTTCAAACAACGACACATGGCTGATTCAAACTCTTACGATAACCACAATCTTTCCACAACCAAAATTACAATCTTTACTGGCCAAAGTGTCGTCAGGTCCAAAACAAAGACGGCGCCAGTTTTATTAATAGACACATCTGCTGCAAACCGGGTCCAGCATTGTAGGCATTGGACAGTGTTGCTGTTGCACTTATGTATTCCAAGTTAGGCAGGGTACGTTGGTGCTGTTAGGTTGGTACCACCGTGCCTTCAGTCAGCTGATATGAAAGCGAAAGTCCCGCCATTGTTGGTATAACCTCGCGCGTGAACAGCTGATGGTCGAAATATTACGGTTACGTTTGTTTTGTGTCGTGTCTAGTGTTGTGAGGGAGTGTTTTGTGAGTTAGGTAAGTGAATTGTTTGATTTGTTGTGTTTTTGTGTGATTTGTGTTTCTGGGTAAGGAGTGTTGCTCTCAAGAATGTGGTCCCAGATGGTAGAGCTGAAGTAATCTTTGCACATTTGTGCGTCGTATAGCGATATAAGCTATGCTATGATACAAGCATTATTAATAATTAATTCTTATGGTGTAATAGACAAAATGACATTAACAGTTTAATACAGAATTAATAAATGGTATCAGCAATCTGACACATTCTTTCTTCCACTTTCAAAAACCCTTATCATTACGGTCGGAGTAACAGTTTTGCTTTTTTTGTGATTTTATGGCATAAATCACAAAAATTGCTATATATTTTGAACCGTAATATTTACAGCACTGGGGGTGGTGCCATTTTGTTAAGGATTTAAAGAATTGTAACATACTAAATCGTAATCAAAATTGGTGAGCTGTCTCCAAAACTCCGATTTTCCGTTATTATGGGGGTTTTCATGGGAAAAATACATAACTTACAATAGATTTTGAACCGTAATTTTTACAGCGATAAGGATAACATACAAAAGTTGAATAAAAATCGTTAGGGCCTTTTTTTTTTAAACCTGCTTTTCCCTAATTTTAAGGGGTTTTATTGAAAAATATGCATAAAAACATGAATTTTGAACAATTAAAAAAAGCCTATCTTGAAGTAGAACCCACATACCAAATTTAATTAAAATCGAACAAAATGTGTAGTCTCTAGGATTATACATTTCAATTGGAGCAAAATACTCTCTTACCCACAATCTATAAAGTAAAAACCTACATAATTTACTCAGAAATATTCAAGTGGTTTACTTCTAAAGATAATATGTTGTTAGGTTTAGTTGTACAAAACTCCAGCATAGAATCAATAAGGGAATGTTGCTGAAATAAACTCCATACATTTTATGACTCCAGTTAACATTTTTGTCTCTAACTACAGAACTTCGTTTTGGTCAGATTCATCGTTTGATAAACAATTCTCACCAAGGTATTGTTTCTCAGTACCTATATCATAGTATGCTGGTAAATGCAGAATATGCATAAAACCACCAGTAAATTATGCATCAACAGTAAAACGAAGTCAATAAACTCAGACTGAACGATTTTCCTTGCTATTGTTCCAGTGTAAAATGAGATGGAGGACTAATTAATTTGAATCTTTGAATGATTCTACAAACATTACAATCAGCCTAGAAAAAGAACCCAAACTAAAACTTGGACATAGCCACTTTTTGGGATCAATATTGGTTTTGAAGCCAATTGTTTTTCTAGGTTTGTACCAAATCACATTCAGTATTTTTAGGAAACTCATATATCATCCATTAAAAAGAAATCTTTAAATTACCTAATAAAAACTTGATAGGTGATATAAATAGGTATTTTCTAGATAAAAAAGTAGTATTAAGTGGTACAATACTGCGATATATATAATTTTAAAACGTTTGTATTTTGGAGAAACCTCCAGGCACGAATTAGGACAATTATTTGAATATTTTTTAGTAATTTTCGTTGAAACTATGGTTTACCAACGATAGATTTTTAGAGGGGTCAAGGTTGTTTTGAACACTTAGAAGTAAGATCCAGGCCAAACTCCCTGAAGCTACAGGACATTTTCCCTCCTCTCATGTAGAAAACACATTACGCCATGTTATTTGCTGAATGGTCTAGTTTTTAAGCCAAAACAAAGGTGGTTCAGATTTACTTGAATTAAATTATGTTTTATGTTATCAATATATGATTTTTTATATTGATGATATTAAAAAATTTAATTCATCTCCTCAAGAACTTTAGCCCAAATTATCTAATTTCAGAGCACGTATTAGACAATATTTTCGAAGATGGTAAAAAAGTGGGAAATTTGTCGTCTCCTCAAATAATGCTAAAAATAGGTTATTTTGCTAAAACAACAATACTCATTCATACTATTAGTCTATATGAGGACAGAATGAATGACAAGTATTTTTTATGAGGATCTTAACTGCAACCATAATATTCTCAAGTCATTGGTAATCTGTAATCTCTTAAGCTAATCCTTTATATTCCTCCTTCTGACGACCTCTGTTTGTCCGATACCAAGTGTTTACCTTGGCTCGCCCCGAGCCCGAGGGGCAGACGCCCGCCACTTTCTCCAGCAGCTACTGAGGCTGCTGAGGCTGCTGATACCATGGACTCCGGTCTGATCCGGCTGCTGATCGTCGCCGCGCTGTTTCTGCTGCTAGCAGGTGACTATGGATATCTCCTGGATCAGCTGACAGGAGTGTTTGGTCCAGAGGAAGCCGATGGAGAGGTTGCCGCCAAGGTCGCTGAAGAAGATGCGACAGAATTGGCCTTCAAGGAGACCGGTGAGTGTTGTTGTTTGATGAAAGTACTTCCTACTTGCTTGGGATGGATAACAACACAGAATTTTGTAACTGATACAAAATATGATCGGTTAGTATGACAAATATGAGGCTTTAAGTATGTAGTTTAAAGTACAACCATCATTTCATGTTTTCAAAAGTTAAACTCATCTTCAGGCTATCATCAAACTGGTTACAAACCTCTCATAGCTCGTTAGGAGTTTAACATGATAAACAAGATACGATCACTAACACAAATATAACAAAACAGTTAGTACCGTTACTGGTCGACCTACAAAATAACGAAGTTAAGGGTAGAAACAAAGTCATTTTAGACAAAATTGTAAATATTTTCTACTAATTCTACTCGTTTGAAACGGCGAATAAAAATAATTTTCACAAAAAAACCTATGTTTTACAAAAAAAAACAAAAAAACATAACATTATAACGGTAGCATAAAGTAAAAATGGACGAGTTAATAAACATTCATTTTCGTTCTTCTATTTTTTTTTCGCTTGCCTATAAGTCCAACTTGTTTAAATGGTTTTTAGCACTGTCCTATGACCACAGGGTTGAATTAAGTTGATATAAATTTGCTTGAATAAAACTGAAACTAAGTTTGATTAACCAACACGAACACAAATTAGCTATCGTGCCATCGTCTCCCAAATCACGAGCGTATCAAATTTGTTAACAACACTGCCTTCTATATCCCTAAACAACATACGAATATTTCTTTGTTTTCACAAGGAGTGTACCTCGTCTCAGTTGAGAGTCCAGACGGTTTGTAGCGGACCTGTCGTCCTTGATGTCCACACGTCTGTAGCCAGAAGTAGCAAGACAACAGTTCCACGGATCTTGTTGAGATAACCAGTCTGTACAGTGTACAGTATGCGATAATTAGTCATTTAAAATTCGTAGGGTGCGGCTGCTCTTGTGACAGTGCTCGAGCCTTGTGTACTGAGGAACTGGGTTTAATCTCACAAATGCAATGGTTCGGAATCAGCATAAAAATTGTGGTCTAGGAAGCCAAAAAAGGATATCTCTGTCTGAAGAGAATTTACTTGGTGTTAACAAACTTTACATACCAAAAGCTGTATATCACAGTTTTTTTACCTTAAATACTAGTTCAATAAAGGTAACAAATCCTTAAAGGAATTGACATTAAAAATGTTACCTTGACTAAAATATCGATAAGGAAACTTACACCAGTTTATGCTGACCCTCTAGAAAACATACAAGCAGAAAATTACGCTATTAAAATTAACGAAATCCTCCACTGTTGTTTGTATTTTAACCAATTTGTAGAATAATTATTTTTCCTACACTTATAAGTTACTTATAAGTTATTTACGAAAGATAAAACGCCGGGGCGCATTAGAAACACGCACTATAAAAGTATGATATATTTTTCCTTTTAGGATATAACCTCATTTAACAAAATTTCATTAATAAACTGTAGGGTTTTAACATTCAGCCAATATATTTATGTTACAATTGTATTTAAGTTGTACTGTATATAGCTTAATCAAACCTATATATTAAGCCAATGTTATTCTAAGAATTCGAGGGTCAAAGAGTATACTTTTTGTTACTTAGAACATATTTAAATAAAGTAACTAGTGGTTTGCTTAATTTACGGGTCAGTTGTATTAACATTTCACTAAGACTCTTAAATAAAATGTTTCCACCAAAGGTAAAATAATACGTCTCTTACCTCAGACTTTTATACCTAATCAACTTTGGATTGTGTGATGATAATATTACAAACGATAAGTTATTAGGAAGTTAACCTTAGTTACCAAAAGCTGTTGTGGCATTTTGTTTCCGGTCTTAGTGGCCTTGGAATCAAATAATGCTTAGAATATCTACCCAATGTTGATACAGTGATAAGAAATAGTAACAGATGATTCATTAATAAATTCCATTGCTTTTGAACCATCCAAGAATGATTAAGACACTCTACAAAGCTACGGAAAATTATTACTGCAATTCTTACATAAAATTATTACAATTCTTTAACTAAATTTGAATAAATATGTAAATATGTTTGCCATTGAGTCAAAAGATAACTGAAAGAGGAATATACATGATTTACGTTATTTTGGTATCCGTGAATCTGGGTAGAGCATAAATCGGTGCTATTTCTCGTAGGAATCGTGCCAAACGTTGCGCCAAAACGATCGTAAACAAAACACGGTCACCAACCGAGGGACGATTCTTGTGACATTTGTAGCTCTACAACCGACTAAATTTCGTGTTCAAACTAATTGTTATTAGTATTAACAACACAGAATAGAAAGACTACAGTTAATGGTTGGAGCTCGCTTTCGATTTTTAGAATTACTTACTCGATCAAAGTAAGACTATGTTTGTTCATTCAAACTGTAAAGATTTCTGAAAATGTTTTGCGTTGGTTTTAAAACTTTTGACTGTAATTGTAAGTATTTTTTACTTTTACCACCAACAAACAACTTAATGTTTGAGTGTCTTTTTATCGTATTTTGTGCAATCTATTTGACCTACAAAATGTATTTGTCAGCAAATTAATTACAATTATTGCAAAATAGCTACGAAATAATTTTGCTATTGCAAAAGTTTGTGTAAAAATAATTTTGCATACGAAGTAGTTTTGGCAACTATTAATCTCAATTTTGTAAACATGATTTATCATACGGAATATTTTTTGCCAGCTAATAAATTAAAAACAATGAATGAATCATAGGAAATATTCTCGTTAGGAAATTAATCGCAACGTTGTAAACAAGCTACTAAACAGTTTTGATTTTTGTAAACATGATTCAGCCTCCGAATTGGATTTTTATTAAATCGATCAAAATAAATTTATAATCATGAGTTGTTGGAGGTTAAAAAAAAAACTGTAATCACCAACTCATGTATGTATATTCTTTATTGTTGTAACTAGGGGGCAATAATAACCAAATCGTTAGAAAGGTATTTTTGTCACCCTTTGGCATAAAGTATTTTGTGAGTTATAATTTATTTTTTATCTACACTGCCTTTTTGTTTCATTAATTCTTTCGCTATGTTGCAGACTCTCAAAATAAAATGTAACCATTATATTTTTCTTTCAATATCCGTCTTGAACATATTTTATTTACTGGCATCACTGCATCAATGATGTTCCTAATTTCATTTTTGACAACGTTTGTATTTTATTTAGTTATGGACAGACGTTTATTTTTGTAACAATCCCATCTAGTATCAATATTATCTACTACATCCCAACTGTGAAATGCACAGACACGAATAGTGACCAAAACAGTAAATTAAAAAGAGATTACTCCAGTAAACAGTTGTACGATTATTGCAATAGCAATCAACTAGGAATTACTGTGCGTGGGACGACACAAGTGTGTTATAAGCTTGTCAATTACTGTTCAGCCGACGCATCCATCTGCATAATATGATGCACCATGTGCACTGTAACTGCATCATGTCGATTTATGTGCAAAAAGAGTTGTAGTCGGATATTTAATCTGTTTTGCATGAAACGTGTTTTCATAAATGATTGTTTTGAAAAGGTAATCCAGTGTTCTATTTGTAGATTGTGTATTGAAACATTGTTTTGGATTGATTGAACTGAATCTGTTTGCATTTTTGTGATTGATTAGGTTTGTTGATTAGTTGGGGTTTTAGAAGTTTGTGTCAATTAATTGGATGTATAGTTAATAATTTAAAACAACTATTCAAGGTATATAGATGTACAGCAGAGTGGATACAGTGCTCCTGTAATCAATAGTTTGCCAGTTTAATCCTAAGAAAAGGCAAAATATTTTTACAGTTCAAAACAAGACCCAACTGTCTGGGCTTTTGCTATGGGCTTTTACATATGTAATGCATTTACAAAATAATCCCTGATTTTAGTAAACTTAAAATAGATCCACGGTGTATCTAAGGTATTGATTAAAATATTTATATGCCAAATTTAAAGGAAGATTAATGCTATAATTAATTATAAGCTACATCAATAACTTGGCAAAAAACTAGCACTTGAATTGAATTTTCACTTAACAGTTTTTACTCGCAAAGTTTACTTGTTTCTGCTGCGGATATCTCTCAACTTTTCCTTATTAGCATCTAATGCACAACCTGTCATATTTGGCTGACTTAATATGGTGACATAACCGTCAATTAGTTGTGGACCAGGTCCAACAACCTCAAAACTGTTCCGGCCCGACTTCCGCTCTTTTTACGTACGGTTCCCAGTTCTGGGTTATGTTATCCAGAAAATATAGGATCCTATAAATATGGGATATTCTGGTGTAAGAAAATATTTTAATGTCATATAACAGGGTAATTTTTTATAAGACGGGTCTCATTGTTGTGTTTAGATTGTACCGAGTTTCAAATAATACTTTATTATTTATACTTTTCAATAAAATGGCAACCATACAAAGTAAGTATTTTAAGCCAAGTATGAATGTAGATGAGTGTAGGATGAGTATGGTGAAGGCCAAGGAAATTTTAGGCTGAATGAATTAGGTAAGTTAATGGAAACAGAATACAGTGTGAGAGAAAAGGGGATTTGTTTTTTCAAGTTAACTTGAGGAATGTAAATGAATTTGAATTAATTCTATGTTTTGATGATACAATGGGCTCGATATTTTTACTTTGAACCTGTTTGTAAGAGAATGTCTTAGTATCATTAATGATGATTCCTAACCCATATTTAAATCTTTCTGTTCTATTGATTCTAAACGTATTTTTTTATAACGTCTTCCATTATCCTCTAAATTTTCTCCAGCCATTATTCTTACACTGCATTCATTCATTTCCTCCTCGTTCATTTTAGGACTTTATTTTATGCAAACCTCTAATAAAAAAAAATTCCATCTTCCATAACAACATTCATAAATAGCCTTATCCGTAGTATCCGTTAGTATGCGATCGGAAAAATCACAAATGAAAAATGATCCAGGAAAAGGGTAAATTAAAGGAGATGAAAGAGGAATCGTAAGCAGAGCGAGATACAGGGGTG